TTCACAATATTAAGTAACGAGTCAGCATGTATGTCACAATTAATGGAGATAGAATTAAATAGCTCAGTCATAAGCACAATTGCATGGAGACGTACCCATGATATTAGTTCTACAATATGGTGCATAGAAAGTTACTTGTTGACGAGATCTATTACGTGGAACTACATAAGCAAGTTTGGATAAAAGAAATGGACAATCTATATTATTAGATAGTAATTTGAACAAGAATGTTATGACTAAAATATTCCTCCGGGTAAGTAAGGATTTAAAGTTGAATCTAGTCAACAACAATGTATGGTCATATCCTCTTGCGGGGTACACACCTTCTATGCTAAAACATAAAAATTTCAGAAATTTTCGTTGAACTGCTTCGAGGCTGTTAATATATCGATTAAACATGGGATATCATATAATTGCCCCGTATTCAAGACGGGATCTAACGAGTGCATAAAAAAGTTGTGTTAATGTTGTTACATTCGTGAAATCTCGACAATTTCTATATATAAATCCAAACATCTTGTACGCTTTTTCGATGACATCAATAATGTGATTATTAAAACTAAATTTGGAGTCAAAAATTATACCTAAGTCCCTAATATTATCTTTGCGTTCTAAACGGCTACCTAGGATATGGTATGAAAACGTGACGGGTACTAGTTTCTTCGTATATGAGACCACTGAGCATTTATCTTCATTAAGAGTCAGCCTATTTTCATGGCACCATTGGACAACTATATCGATGTTGTGCTGTAGTTTTACACAGTCTTGTGGGCAAACAATACGCTGGAATAACTTCAGATCGTCAGCAAATAAATTCTTTTCACTAGTGATGCGATCAGGAAGATCATTGATGAAGAGTAGAAAAAGAAGGGGTTCTAAGTTCGAACTTTGAGGAACCCCTGATGTTGGTGAGAAGGCCTGAGATGAGAAGTTTTGATATTTCACAAACAGTTTAAGCTCGATAAGGTAGGATGAAAATAGGCGACATAACGAGTCGGAAAAACCAAAATCATGTAACTTCTTCAAAAGGATGTAATGGTCGATTTTGTCAAAACGCCTTATTGAAATCAGTGTAAATGGTGTCAACTTGGTCCTGATTGTCGATGGCATCAGCAACATATTGAGAAAATGTAGCTAAATTGGTAATTGTGGACCGTTTCTCAACAAATCCATGCTGGTGTTGGGAAATGAAATATTTAACAGACGCATAAAGTTGTTTATTCAACACCGCCTCAAATATTTTTGCAAAGTTTGGTAAGAGACTAATTGGTCTGTAATCCTTGATGTTAGAGACATCGCCTTTTTTAAATACGGGCACACTACGGACTGCTTCCATTTCTCGGGCATTTCGCATTGTCGAAGAATGATGTTAAATAATTTGCATAATGGTACGGCAAATACGAACGCACAGTCCTTTAATATAAAACTAGCTATCCCGTCTGGTCCTGTCGTGAAAGAATCTTTACACTTTTTTAAAGCTGACAAAACTTCAGTTTCAGAGATGACTGTAACAGACACAAAGAGTTGAGGGATTCGATTGGAAGCTTCGATAGCACTGTGCGGATCAGATCTTATGTAGACACTGCTAAAATATTTACCAAAGGCTTCCACGATGTCAGCTGGAGAAGATAATGTTGTATCTTCGATGCGCATGACGCCAGGTATACGAGTGCAATTCTTCTTTTTTTGAACGAAGCCCCAGAAAGATTTAGGGTCTTTAGAGATGTTCTTTTCTATACTGCCAATGTATTCTTTGTAAGAATTGGAGATTAACGCCTTACAGTGAGAACGATGTGATTTATATAAATTATAGTAATAGGTAGATTTGTGTGTCCTGTATAATCTATGCATTTTAGCCTTAATTCGCAAATTTACTATAATATCACTGTTGAACCAGGCAGGGACCGGTTTGATTTAATGGGTTTTATTTTTGGCACTGATACGTCAAAGATTTGAGTTACTTTGTCGTAAAATTGTGAACAGGCTTTATCTACACTTAAGTTAGAATGTAAAAAGTTCCAATTAGTGTTGCAGATCGTCTGATATAAGCGAGGGCAATCTGCTTTCTTAAAGTTGTATGACTTGGGATTTTTGTTCATTGGAAACTGGTTTGGCAATGCGATAGGTATATAAACTTTTGTCCATAAGCATGGATGGTGGAGATCTTCCTTAACAAGGGCTGAATCTGATGGCTCTACTTTGCAATCAGTGTTAGAGAAAACCAAATCGAGAATGTTATTATGTGCATTGCGAACTTCGTTAAATTGTTTGAGACCGTAAAATTCACTGAAATTTTTTAACACGTTTACTGTTCTGTTTGTTGTGTTTGTAAAGTCACTTGCATTGAAATCACCCAATATCAGTACTTTATTATTACAGAGAACTTCGATTGTGCTTAGAAGATCAAAAAAAGCTTCAAAGTCCTGCGATGATGTTTTTGGTGAGATATATATGTTAAGAACGACCAAGTAATGATGTCCAAGATGTAGTTTAATTCCGACTATGTCAATACTAGGCATTGCATTTTGAATAAAAGAAAGATCCAGTGAGGTTGCCTTATATTTATTTCTTACACTTATGAGTACTCCACCGCTTCTAGTTACTCCCAATGAATGGATATCACGATCTTGTCTAAACACAATAAACTCAGCTGGAAAAATTTCACTATCACTGATATCCTTAGTAAGCCACGTTTCCGTAAGTGCTATAACATCATAGTCTTCCCTTTCGCAAACATTATTACAAAAATTGAGTAACCTTAGATCTTAAACCTCTAACATTTTGATATAAGTAGTGAAGTACAGATTTATTATTGGGTGAATTAATTAGTTTAAAATAGTGGGAATACCGTTGACGTAGCGAATTCTTAAGTTTTGTTCACCATTGGCTGTACGATCGTTGAGTTCTTGTTTCACTTTGTTATAAAATTCGATTTGCTTAGGTGTACGATCAGTAGCCAGGGAGATGTTCTTGTAATCATTATTATTCTTAAGAGATTTAGTATTGCGAAGAAGTTTGTAAACATCGGACTCATCATTTAGACGAACCTTGATAGGCCTTGGTCTAGTGCTTGAAGCATCTGAACGTCCTAGACGATGTACTACCAAATTATTAAACGGCGAAAAATCAGGGTACGCAGACTTAAGGATATTATCAACAGTAGAATTGTCATTATCAGGTCTTTGTGTAGCCGTAAGAGTAGAGGGTTGCTCTAGTACACCGAAGATGATTAGGTTTTGTTTGCGCTTCTGTCTTTTATTGACTTCGTTGACTATTTCTTCAAGCATCAGTGGGTTAGATGAATTAAGATCTGGCTTTTGAGTTGATGCAAAAGATGTTTTTATTTCGGATAATTGTGTTTCGAAGTCTTTAGTCAGTTTTTCTAAGGCGTTTGTGTAATCTAACTGAAGTTTAGAAACTAGGCTCTTAATGTCTTGATGTTTGGTCATATCACTATCGCAAACCTTACATAACATCTTCATCAGCTTGGACCGTACCATTCGAATTGTTTTGATGTCTGTTTTAGTCATATCAGCGCAAGCAGCTTGTAAAAAACCCTTGCAAGCATCACAACTAATTACGCTAGCATCATTCCTACTGCAAGCCGTGTGATAATGAAGACAGAGTGGCATATTGAACCAATATAATGTTAAATGAGTAACGAATGATAATATTAATGATTAGAAAAAATGACGACGAAGCCTTCTGACGTACCTTGCTTCCAAAGGTGTTTTTGGAAAGAAATTTCTGTAAATTCCTATTGTTTAATGCTCATTCCCGCGACGCGGTAGCCACGAGCGAACCGACCGTACTGAAGGCAGTGGCTCCAGGTCGCACTACCTCGTACGGCACCGTCGTGGAAACGAACGTACCAAAATAAATTTTATCGATCAACCAAAAAACGATAACTAAAAAGTAAAATCTTACAAACGGCACTAAACGTTCTAATTTTTCAAAAACTAATAGCTGCACTATTTAGGCTCTAGATGGTTAACACTCATAGTTAAATTTCGATTTAGAAACACGTTTATGGAGCGATTTTAGGTCGATCATACGTTTTGCAGTATGACATTCGCGCTCACGATATAATAATACTGCTTTAACTTCCCGAGCGTAAGGTAATTAATTTATAAAAATTTTTTTTAACTCAATCACGAAAGAAGAAAAATGTTTTTTACAAATTGAATTGCTTTTGATTAGTTCTATTACTAGTTAAAATTAATGTACTTTTTTCTGTAACACGTTATATCTTCATTTGAACTCATTTTCATGAAAATTTCACAGACTCAACACTAATATGGAATATGGCGGAAAATGTTTGACAGATATTGCAAGTATCCGTAACTACATCTGTTCTGGCTACTTGGCAGTTGATTCTTTCGGGGAGCGATCTAAAAAGAAAAATAGGAAAAAAGAATAAACACCATCATTAAGCGATAAAGCCATTGATGTGGTCAGGGAATAAGTGTCCAAAATTGGTAAATACTTGTGGAGGAACTGCATGGGACACATAATTGGGCTTGAAAATTTTAATGTGTGATCAGAGTTTCAAGAATTTATTATTCATGTGATATGACATATGAGGCTAGCGACATTTTTGAAAAACATTTGATAACACTGTAAGTAGCGATTTCGATTAGTGTTTAAGTGATTTATTTAATTTTTGTAGATAAATATTCATCTCTGGATAACACTGTTGTGAGAGACATGTGGGCTTTTTATTGTTGTAATTACACAACGGTAAATATACTATTTCAAAAAAAAGTGCAAACTGACGTCATTACTTTTAACATTAATTACATCTTACAAGAGATTTAGAATCAAGACAGATACAATGCAGTAAGTACGTAGTAATATCTATCGTCATTTTTACTCCAAATAAGAACAAAAAAAGCAGGCCTTAAAATGAAAAAAATTTTACCTGATATGAAAAAGATATCTAATAAGTAGGTATATGTTTGTTTTTTTCTTAATGCTTATTTTGCGGTAATTTTTTATCAAAAATATAAAATAACAATCATAAAATCGTGGATTCAATCCAAACACTCAAAATTTAATTATAAAGGTAAACAACTATTTCCAAATCAGTAAAATAAGTTGTAATGCATTTTTCATGTAGCCAAGGTTATAAAAGAACAAGCCCATTCGATGTAACCAGTTATTGACGTATTGCTGTCGTCGTCGCCAGACAATGTTTAAAGTAGGAGAATGCACAGTAGAAAAAATTTTGCAATCATTTGATAAAAATAAAGAAGGAATAGACGAGGATATTGTAAATTTGCAAAAATGGATGGACGATCAACCACATCTGCCAGAAACTTTAGGTAAATACTTAGTAAATTTAAAATGATGTGCAAATTCCATAATTCAGAAATTTTCAGATAAAAGGAGCACCATGAACTTTTTAATTCTCAATAAATTTAGCATAGAGAAAACGAAACAAAAAATAGACACTTATTATACAGTTAGAACCAAACTGGATGATGTTTATCAACACATAAATCCAAAACTTCCACATATGACGGAATTTAGAAACATAATGTAAGAATAACTATCTACAAACATTATTTTGCATTATTGTTTTTAGATATTTTGTTCCACATCCTCAGCTGTTAGATTTTCGTAGAGTATTTTTTTGCAAAATACGTAACGCAGATTTGGCAGAGAAGCTCGACCCATGTAATATGTTACGTTGTATGGTAAATGTCCACGAAATGAGAATGAGGGAAGATGTCATGTACGGAGAAATATTTGTTGTTGACTGCTATAATGTTCCTCTATCGTACTACCTAAAACTGAACCCCACAATTATTTTTAAATGTATGGCAGTTATTTATGGGGTACTCCTCCACGCTTGTTAGAAAGAAATTTTGATTTTTTCATTGTAGAAAGTTTTTCTTTTCGACTCAAAGCATTTTATGTGGTTAATTTCCCCTCTTTTGGAGAAAAAGTGATGGCAATAGCGAAGAAAATAATAAAACCTAAAGTGTTTGAAAGGGTTAGTGAGTAGGTGCAAAAATTGTCAAAAATTTGGTGATGTTTGTTTTTTAAGATTCATTTCTTTTCGGACCATAGTATACTAAAACAAGAATTCTCTGAAGACTTTCTGCCTGAGGATTTTGGCGGTAAGGGCCCTTGTCTTGAAAATCTACAAGGTATACCAACTTTTTGTTTAGTGTTCTTGCTTTTGAAGCTTAAGTTTGAATTCTTAAGAATTTTTATTTTAGAAATGTTGGAGTGTGAATATAAAAGTCACCAAAATTTGTTCGATAGATTGGACAAACTTAAAGTGGATGGAGGTTTACGACCGCAGAAACTGGAAAATAATGAACTGTTTGGCTTTTATGGTAACTTCAAACAACTTAATATAGATTAGTACGTGAAACATGATTGTGATTGTATTAACAAAATAAAAGAAAAGTTTAGATGAACTTCAATAGTTCTTGAAATAAATCAGGCAATAAAAAAATAGTCTAAGGTTATTTCGTGCTCTACGGGTCACACAACATCGAGAAAACATGAAAGTGGCCATTCGTAGGACGGACAATATTACAATACTCCCTTAGCTTACGCTTGAGCAGTAAAAATGAAATAAAGCAGGTCAAAACTCAAATATTCCTGGTGCAACTCAACTATATCACTTTTGTTTTGAGATTAAACTCCAAAACAAAAATCACGTAAGTTATATGGTGACTTTATAAATCAGATTTAAAGACAGAAATCACCCCAATAAGCAAATTTCAAGAATTGTAACTTTCCAGTATAGTTAATCATGGATGCTGACTTTTTTTGTCAGTTGGCAACATATTTAAAATTTGACGATGGTCTAGCTGATTGTCAAAACGAAATTTAGGGCGTGATCCTGTCAAAGTTGAGTTGACAACTGCGCACTGACATGGCCAATAATTCAGAAATACCAACACAAAAATTAACTTCAATCATTAATAGTCGGCCAGTATAAAATCAGTAACCACAGGTTCTATTTCTTCTACTTTTCTTACAAGATTCTCCCTAATCGTGGTTATGGTCACTAATTAAAAATCTCTATTTCTATTCATGATGTACCGCATGATCAGAAATCACTGAGTTTGTTGGCAGTACTTTTAGAAAAAAATTTGAACCTTTCTTGCGTTTACGTTGGTACAATGGAAGAATTCTATGTCAGATACGTCATTTGTGACATGCGATAAATTTAGATTATGTTTGTGACACATTTTGCAAATTTAAAAATGTCAAAAATCTGTCAACCGGAAATTATAGATCACTTTTGCTGAATAAATTCTACCCAAAATATGCAAAATATAATGAGTGATTTGTGATTTATCATTGTATTCATATTCACTAATTAAAATAAGTCAGTGAAATAGAGAAAGAATGTGGGTGGGGCTAAATTTAGCTTTTTTCTAGATTTATACACAAGCAGTAGCCCCGCCCATCCCCCCTTCTTCATTCCAGTGACAACTCTGAATATTGTTCAGGCATAGCTTGGCAAAATTTAGTCCCGCCCACCCACTCTTTTTTTTCTTAGAAAATTTGTCATTTACCAAAATAAATTTTATGTTAACAACTACTAGCCCCGCCCACCCGCCCTCTATTTTCTTAGAGGGTATGTCATTTACCAAAATCAATCTTATCTTGGCAGATGCTAGCCCCGGACACACACGCTGTTCTCATTCTAACGATTTTATCTCTCTTCGACAATGGGAACTAATAGAAGGTAGGCTGCAAAAAAAAGCGTTAATCGTAATTTTTTTGTTATACTACTTATTTGCTAAAATATTTATTTCTTACTTCTGAAGAAAAAAATGCCAGAAGGGGTGGGTGGGCGGGCCCAAGATGAACTTTTTCATACAGAGTCTTTTATAAGCAAGCAATAAATCCGCCCACCCACCGCATATTCATTTCAGTGATTACTCTTAATATTTTTATTTGGTTAAAGTAGGGGCGGACTTGGCTGCTTTGTTGACTTGAAGAATAATCACAACTGTCAACTTGACATTACGAGTCAGCCAATCATTTCGCGACAATGTAGTAACTGTCAGCATTAAAGTGATACCAATTTCAACTAAAAATCCAGGATTGCCAACAGACTCAGTCGTTCCTGATCACTCAGCATATCTACTAAAAATTGACATAGAAAGCTGGCATACAGAGGGAAACGAGAGACCTACTCTTTCGTACTCTACGGGTCATCCAACGTCGAGAAAACATGAAAGTGGCGATTCGTAGGATGAACAATAGTACAATACTCCTTTAGCTTACGCTCGAATAGTAAAAATGAAATAAACCGGGTCAACACTCAAATATTCCCGGTGGAATTCAAATTTTGCGTTCAAATTTACATTTACAGTGCATTATCAACGGGAATAGCACTATGCGTAGTGTTTAAAATGTTGTTGGTACATCGGAAGAATGTCACGTAGACATCTGTTGGATTTAAATGAGTTTATCGCCTCAAAACAGATGACTAAAATTATTCATAAACCTCAATTGAACAAAATATTCTGAATGTTGATGCTTATCATAATGTTTTTATAGTTTTATACTTTTGATTTTTTTTTCCAAAAATCTGGACGAGTAAAAAATCAACTCTTAGTCATAAACTACATGTGTAGGACTATGTTATTTTATACAATTTAAAACCTATTTACTATGTACAATTTTGAAGTGACGTCATGACATTATTGGTGGGTTACAAAATTTGACAACAATCGGCGTAGTACTTTCGGAGATTATCTGTCTAATAAAAATCCGGAACGGCAGACAGATGGGCAGACGGACAGACAGACGGAAACGGGACACCTATAGATGACGGAATAGGACTCAGTCTAAGAAAATACAGGTTATACCACAATAAAGCCCCTACCCTTATGTATCTCTCCACAAAATATTGTATCACAATTTAAAAAATAACACTAATGCTATTTTGTATGTTTATACAATTTTAAACTATATTTTCCAGGTATCAGATTTTTTATTATCATTTTTATTTTGTCAAGAACCGCATTAAACAGGCATATTATTAGGGGCACGGGCAAAATTGAATATAATCCAGTTCAAGAGAAACAGATCTTAGACCTTGGAATACAAATGAATCAAATTTTCCCATTCGGAACCGCGGAAAACTTGTTATATATTCTGAAGAATTTTAAATTTTAAACTTTTAAGGGAGTCCTGGTCAGGGTTTCCAATAAAACACCTCATTAAATTTCTATTGTTTTTATGTATGCTTTTTATTACACAATATTAATTTGAACCAGAGCTAATCATCGTCTATCAAAGCACTAAATACCCTATCACCTAAACCCTTGAACCTTGAATTGGATTTTCCGTCATTGCCAAGAGTGAATGACTACCGTTCACGTTCACTGCAACTGCGATTACGAAAGCAATAATTTATTAATCAACACTCAACGTTTTAAAATTTCCATGAATTCCCAAAAAATCATCGTTTTCTAGCTTCTGCGGTCTCAAATTTTCGTTAACTCGTAGCTTATCTAACTGGTCAAAGCGATCCTGATATTCATTTAATTTAAGCTTCCACAATTCTGAAAATCCAAATACACGAAACAATTTTTAAACGTAAATGTGAAAAAATACCATGAAGTTCTTCTGTAGATTTTTCCTCGCCGCCGTAGTCTTTGGGCAAAAGCTCAGCAGGGAAGTGTTCATTTAAAATGGTCGTGTCCTCGCAGACGTGTATCTACAAATTTTCTAATTTACGCACCTCCTTGAAACAAATTTTATGATCTTACTCTTTCAAAAATTTTGGGCTTCAAAATGGTTTTCAATATTGTCAGAAGCGTACTGACGTAAGATGAACTGTTAATAACATACATTCCTTTCAAAGGAATAGAATAAATTTTCTAAAGGTGAAAAAATTAAAGTTTTGTTAATTACATGGGTGTACTTACGGTGTAAATGGTCATGATTTTAGTTAAAAATGACGGTGTGAGTTTTGATAAATATCCAAAAGTTAGACCCGTCATATCATAGACTATTATGTCCCCAAACATTACATCTTCTTTAAGTCGTATCTCTTGCATGTTAACGGCCAGATCAATAACATCGTGTGGTTCCATTCTGTCAACCATGGAACTACTTATCATTTTAAAAAAGAACACTCTGTACATTTGTTTGGTCAGTTTTGGAAGTGGCACGTAGCAAACCATTTCCATTACTTCTTTCATATTTGGACATGTCGGATTGACGTTATGATAAATGTCAGGGATTCGACTCCTGAGGGTGTAATACATATCTATGCTTTCTTTCGCTCTTTCCACGCTACACTTATTTAGTAGTAAAAAATTTTGCAAACTGTAATCATCTGCAAAATTATTCGTTAGCTGTATTCAAAACTATAAATTTGACTTACCCAAAATTTCAGGCAGATGCGGTTGAGATTTCATCCAAGACTTCAGTGTCAAGACATCTTCATTTAGAGACTGTTCCGTTCTTTGGTATAATTTGGCAACTGAGTTGACGATGTTGCTTTCAAACTGAAATATTTCCGATTTTTTCATTTCAGCTACAATGTAGGAGCTGCTTTAAAGACCACAACCTTGCACAATGAGTGTTAGAACTGCAACCGTTTCTTCAGCAAATGTGCACCTCTTACTCGTTGAGACCTTCGGTGCAATTATTGTTTTATTCTGATTATTGTATTTTTTTAATCAACTATTATTAATAAGTTTTGCGTAATATTTCTTTATAAGACAGTGTAGCAAGGACAAGCAATGTGAAATTTATTTTGCATTCTACAAATTCAACCTTTATGCTGATTTTATTGTTAAATAAATATCTAGATGTTTACAGATGGAACGAATGCTTGCTACAATGTATTTGTGAGTGAATATTTAATTAATGTATTTTCTGAGGATAAATATATTTGTTTTAATGATAATATTTTTGTATTAATTTACAGAGTGACTGCGTTCGTAGGCAAATGCTAAAACCACAATTAAACTGCAATGTCAGCATACTATTTTAAAAATAAATTTCAACGCCTATTCAACGACTTTTTCCGTTCGTACGGGATTACAACATACAGGATTGCTAAAAAGTATGGAGGCAGTTGAATATCTCGGGAACGGTTGGTTGGATCTCCTTGAAATTTCGGGGACACTTACAAATATTTAAGCTCTATTTTCTGTAATTTTTTTAAACTTTAAACTTCATTTGTTTTCAAGATGCAAGGCTAACTTGATTTTTTTGAATAGCGTCAATTTTTGAACAGAAGAGTTTTTTCTGAAGTCAGAACTGTAACACATGCATCCACTTTTTTAACTAATACGGCAAATAAAATGATAAATTATGTATTGCGAATAAACTTTAAATTAGAAAATTGTAGTTAGCTTCGAAAATACTGATCGATTTGTCAGTATGTACTGAAAAGCAAACTTCTACATCTAGGTTTAAAAATATTTCAGGAAAACACTAAAATGGCACTAGTAATAGAAACTGAACGATATAAATCTTGATGATGGTAGACTATGGCGACAGACATCGAAGCAATGCTGAACTACCAGCGCTTTTTAATGAAACTGATCCCAATCGAGAACAAGTCTAATAAGTCGACAGTTTCAAAAACATCACGCAGATTTAACGAAACTAGTAATGTTAGAAATCGTCAAAAAACCGGAAGACCAAAAAAGAGACTACTTTTTGTTTGAATGGACATGTTAATCGCGATAACTGTTGTGGCGACCGAATTTAAATCAAAATTTTCGCGCTGAAATTAATTAACAGCGCCGCGAAATCACATTTGAATAATTTAAATTTGAGAAAGAAAAAAAAAGAATTCAAATCATAAATCGTTAAACATAGGCAACCATGTGCACGGTAACGCTCGCAGGATAGTTGGACAGTTAGTAACGCTAGAGGGATTTTAGTTAGAGGATTGGTTGGTTGGTTGGTTGGTTGGTAGACAAAAGGCGGCATGTCGAAGGCGTGAATCATTATCTTTTGGTTGGGTGTAGTCGATGCATGTTGAAAGGACGCTGTAAGTAGCTAGGTTTAAATTAGCTGGTTTGGTAGTTAATAAAAGGGAGGAAGCCTTTGTTTAACGAAAATCAATCGTAACGCCGTCGGCGCTCAGTTGTCCCCAACCCGCACGGCTAATTCTTGCGGCCTTTTAATCGAAAAAGTGCGGACTTTCGTTCAACGCGGAAATTTGTTTTATCGTTTGTAAATTCACCAATCAAGTTAATTTTTCTTAATCGCCAGCTAGTACAAACACAATTTAACAAGCAGGAGTATTTAAATAAACTACTTGATAGAAGATTTCATGAAATTCACTTAGTCAGGATAATAATTCTTTGTTTAACAAACTACGAATAGGTTTCTGGATGCATATACGTAAGTGTTACATTATAAACACTTCTTAATTCTTCACACAAGATTGCCAATAGTTCCTTTATGGCAGTTAAATTAACAAAATTCATACCGCGAACTGGCGGGAGGTTAAAATAATTTCTTTCCTTAGGCGGTTATCATCGTTAATATCATCGTTATCGTGATCACATCACTGGGGCATCTCCTCACCACGTTAAAGATTCTCGATCGAGGCTTGTTCTCACAAAGCTACAGATTGATTACTTCATCGAGGCTTGTCCTCGCAACGCTACAGATTGATTACTTCATCGAGGCATGTCCTCGTAACGCTAAAAATATACATCATCGAGGTATTCCCTCGCAACAATAAAATTACATCACCGAGACGCTTTTTCCTCGCAACAATAAAATTACATCACCGAGACGCTTTTTCCTCGCAACGATGATTAGACAATTTTGTGTCTGTTTATTATATGTTTTGTTGGGGTAACCAGTTCGCGGTATGCTAAACTCTCAAAGTAAATTGTTTTTTTTTAGTAACCAGTCATTTAGATCATGATATAATTTGACATAATATAAACTCTTTGTTTGAATTGTTGATAAATATCTCACAATTTTAACTTCAGTAATTTTTTTTGATGTATAATTTTGATTGAACGTAAATTTCATGCTCTACAGTTTTAACCTCACATAATGTTTTTATTTGGACGAGTCTATTTCACACCAGATCTTTTGTTTTTCATAAATCTTTGCTAGTTTTTGTTTTGTAAATATTTTGTTGATGAATGTTTCCATCGTATAAATTATTTGATGTCCAATTTTTATCTCACATAAGAATGATTTGTTGTTTAAAATTTCACAAAATTCTATGGCGAATTTAAATGTTATTTACTGCTCTTTGAAACTTTAACATTTGTTCAGTTGTTGTTAATATCAGAGTTATAAAGAATTGAACATTCAAAATGGAATTGAGGTTAAATAACACAGAAAACGTGGCAGAAGAGAAGTGCGATTCCTAGTTGAGCTGCCGAGATCTTATCGCGTCGCCTGCACAAAGGGTATAGGTTTCGATAGATTTAGAGGCGGTTGTGGTGTTGTAGTGCTCTCGACTTGGCCCCATAGTCGAGACCTAACTGCGGGTCTGTGATCGTAATGGTCTAGTTTCGGACGGCATGTTCGTCCTAGAGATATGTAATGTGCTGTACGGGTAGGCTTGCGATAGATAGAATCACCGTCCTGAGGGGAGAACAGCCCCGACCGGTAGCCCCAAACTCCGCTTGTACTAGAACGCCCCAGGGGTACTTTTGTTGTGCTCCTGTTAACTGACGTAACTTTTAAATTTGACGCTACACGCCCGTAATGACTTGTGTATTTACATCCAGTTACTATAATTCAGATTTTGCTTTGTTTTTATTAAATTTGTGATATTCAAATATTTGCATTGATTCCAAACAGATGTATAGGATTTTGTGTTTGTTCCTTTTTGATATGTGTATGTCTGTCAATTCGCCAGTGTCTTTTCTTTCATATGTTTAAGGTGTTTCATTTGAAATGTAATATGTCCATGAATATACGATAGGGGGCTTTGGAGTGAATACTCGCAGCTTCTTTCCTCCTGAGAGGGGTGCCATTTTAGCCCCTCCAAAAAATGTTGTCTATTATTTCTTGCGCTCTCGAATCACACGCAGTGTATGCCCACTTGTATGAAAGAACGTCTTCCCGCAATGTTTAAAAAAAAAACACACACACAACGTATTTTTTCATTTTGTTAGACGATCACAGCCAAGGCCAAATTTTGAATTTTTGAATTTTTCGTGGGTCTTTCAAACTTTTTCAAGGTCAATTAAAGGCGGGAAGTTTGGGTTATCACACTGTTCCAATACTACATCCACACTGGATGGAGGAGGTTCATACACAGTACCCCCAAAAAATTAGTGTTTGGTGCGGCATTATATATTATTCTTCATAACGGAAATTTAACGTCTGACAGATACCTCCAACAGTATTATTAATCGACTTACACAAATATTTCCAAACTATGACATTCCAAATTTACCTACAGAGTCCGTCTGGTTCCAACAAAATGGAGCATGTACAACCTGACTTCGGATGTCAAGTACGGCCTTACTTGAATGAAACTTTTCCTGAAAGGTGGATAGGGAGCAGTTGACTGACCAGATAGGTCACCCGATTTAACCGCACTTGACATTTTTCTGTGGGGTTATGTAAACAATTGTGTTTATGTTAATCGACCACAAAGTATCGAAGAACTCCAAAAAAGGATATTAAATGTGATTGCTAGTTTGTATAATTCCTCCTAATAGTTTAACATAATGCATTTGAAAACTTTGTGCAACGTATTTATTATTGCCAAGAAGTAAGTGGAGAATATTTCGAAAATTTGTTGTAAAATTATTGTTTTCTAAATGTTAATTTGATATTTTTTCAATAATGTGATTTTTTATTTAAATTTTTCAAAAATTTTTCATAATAGTGTATTCACTATTTATTATAATTCAATCGAATGCCCGCCAGGTGTATGACAGATTTTTCCGAAAATTTGAGGACTCTTATTAAACGTATTACACTGCACATATTCAAACTGACATAACGTGTCCTTATTAAAATGTCGTAGCCAAGGAGACCATACCTCGAACAGATATTGCATACTTAATTTCCAGCCTGCTTCGACAAATTACAGAGTGTTTTAATAATCGTGGAGATGTCAATGACTATTAAGTTGGTTATCTTATTTGTTGACTGATATGGTCCAAATGCTAATCATTTTATAAGATTGATATGATACACAAGTGGTTGAAGTTTCAATAAAATTCGTCCACTCCTTCCATGTGTTGCACTTTTTTTAAGTTGTAGAATTGTTGCAAAATTTAATCAAACAGGAAACGTAAGAGATGTTCCAAGATGTGGTTAACCACAAATAAGCGATAACACCACGTTGAATCTCTTGTTATCATTGGAAGATAACTTCCATGTAACAATGACGGAAATGGCTTTACAAGAAAATGTTAACCAGTCGTTTATGGTAAAGTTTTTCAAAAAAGAGAAACTGCATCTATATAAAGTTCAACTCATTCCTGAACTATCAGAAAATGATCCTGATAAACGATTGGAATTTTGTGAAAGCTTCATGAGCAGTAGGCGGAAATTTATCTTACGGATGCAATTCCCCAGTTGAAGCAAGGTGTGTTTTACGGCGAGTAGCGGGGACGCTTTGATCTGGTCCACAAGGTCGTAGCCAGTGCGTCGCTAGGAGTGTTTACAGCTTGTTAAAAAACTACTTCTATATTACTATATTACTTAAAAAAATAATACTTGATGCCTTTTTTAATTTTTCAAACACAGGATCACAGATTTGTGATCTTGAAATGTTATATTATGTTGATATAGTCCAAAATAAAAATATATTTGTAATCAAAGTATCGCCGCGACAGCACTGGATCTAGCGTATGAAACACAATTCCGCCCGTTGTTCATGAGACATTGTGACGACAATCTCAAGTTTTTAAATAATTTCGTATTTTCCGATGAACATTTTACTTAAATGGCACCGTAAATCGGCACAGACCCAAGGTGCCCAAAAAATTAATGTTTGGGTGAGAATAATAAACAGAAAATCCATTGCCCCCTACTTTTTTTTACGGAAATTTAATAGTAGATCATTATAGAATCGCAGTACTTCTAGATCTAATTGCTAGGTTTCCAGATTCAGATGGTCCACAAAAATTAGATCGCAGGATTTAGTTCCAATAAGATGGGGCACTATCACATTATGGCGTAAATGTAAGCGTTTTTTTGGATAATGAATTAGATGGAAGGTAGATTGGGTGGCGTGTACCAATAGAACGGTCACCTAGGTCTCCGGATCTGACACCCCTTGTTTTTTTATGGGGACATTTAAAAAGACGTGTTTACATGAACAGACCCGATAATTTAGATGACTTGGAAGCACGAATTCGTCATGAAATGACTCGTATAGGTCCCCAGAGTATTGAAAATTCCGTCAATCAGATCTACCATCGTCTGAGTTTGTGTCAGATAGTGAATAGGGAACAATTTCTATAGCATAGATTTACTCCAACGTATATTATTTATTTTGTCTGTTATTAATTTTCTCAATTTTTTTCTTATGCAACCTCTACATCAGGCTACATTTTTATGTAGAAAAATAAGATTTATCAAATAATGCAATCAAAATTATACCTTCCTATTTAAACAAGTCATTAATGACGTCATAACTTTTACAAATTTGACGTAAAACTGTTTTAACATATTCTTGTGGAATAATGAAATGGTCAAAAACTGAAAATCATTTACACAATATAAGACATCATCCGAAGTCATCAATTGAGAGATTTTCATTGTCAAGACAGAACGGAGGAAGGGGATTCCAGAACTTGGAAAATTTATACAAAATACAAGTTTCGGAAAGGAAGAAATATTTCCTGAGGTACACAGAAAGAAACGAAATGTTTCGCGTCATAGCAAGGGCAGACGTGAACCACACACCCATAAATCTATCCAGTAGGCACTGAAGAGATCCCCACACCCCATAATCTACATCACATAATAAGTGGGCTGAAACGAAAACAATTGCATGGAAAATTCTTCAAAGAGTGGACGAAACTTACATCAACAAGAAAATTTCATTGATTTGGCTCAAAAAATCATATTTGTATGCCGAAACAGAAGAGTTTTTGTTTGCTATTTTCAAGAGAAATGAAAACAGTGTTAAACCTTGAGAAAATTTTAATTCTACCTTTAGTTATCCCCAATGTAGGTGTAGTCCCAAATAGTTTTATTGAGAATGTGGAAATATTGACACTTTAAATGATTCAATAATTGTCAAAATGCAATAAGCTGTTTTGTCAGGAACATGTGATACTGTGCGTAAGTTTCTCGAAAAGACTGATCATGTTAGTCAGAATAGGTTAGCACCAGTAGGTCAAAGTAGTATACCTCATTTTTCAAGTGATGCGTGGATCGGTAGTTACGGTAGGCTCTAGGGGATGGGGTGAAATTAGAGAATAATAGGAAACGAATTTGTATGCTGTAATTCTAGGATCTCAAAAGTATTTTATTAATCTAATCAATGCAAATCATTACTTGGTCTTAGTAGCCGTTATGATAGTCTTGCCTGAATGCCGGTTATTTCCGAGTTAGTGGTGGGTCCTATTTGATCTAATAAACAAAATAGTCTTCTTGATTTAAATTATTTTATTTCATAATTTTAAATATTTATAGAAGTGTACCTATTGTCTAAAAACGTGCTTGAGAAATGACCTTCTAGACAAACGTAAACGGAATTTTTAGTACTTTTTTTGTGAAGTGTCCACTGATAACTGACAAAGGTAGTAACTTTCCTCATTTAATACATAGCTGTGAATTATGACACATGTTAAACACATTATGCAGATAAGTTTAAACTGACATGTTGTTAGTAAACGTTATCTCAAAAAATGGACATTTAATTATTTCTCACCATTGTGCGTACCTCTGTATGTAAATGATACCATAACCTTGTTGGGCGTAAAGAACCCATTCAGGAAGATTTTTTGTAAATACCTACTGACACAATTCCATTAACATTGTTTCAGAATAATGATGTTTTGATCAAAAATCGAAGACAAAAATCGTTGAACCAATAATTTTATCAAATTGCCATAAAGCGATAAAATTTAATTCAATTTGACAGAGGGAAAAAATAAAAATCTTACACAAATTGCCCCATTTTTGATGCACACCAAATACGGCACTGTAGGACAACTTCAAAATTGTTTTATAATAAAAATAAGTAAGATGGTAATTGGTGAAGATTATTTTGTTAATGTAACCCAGAATAGATATTTATGTCGTACCGGTTTATTATTGGTCTATAATGGCTTGGATTTGAGGTACTACGTTATTGAGCAATTAATAACCTAGGGCATTAAGAATATTTCCATAATAATGTTAACAGACAACTCGATCGATCAACTTGTGTTTTAATAGATAGCGCTGATTTATATATTTATTGAAACCATGGTCTCTGGTAAAAAAAAAATCTGTCTGTAAATATCAGTAAGACATACATACAATAATTTTATATTTTATGTTAAAAATATGTTTGACAAGTTATTATATAGCGGGTGAGCCCACATATGCTTAATTTGTAATCGAATCATCTTTGGAGTACGGAAAATCAACATGTTTGTTTTGAAACTTTTCTTCATGCTCAAGAAATTGGTGTTTGGGTTGCAATTAATCAAAGACGGATAATAAGGTCTACATTTTCTAAAACTAATTATGTGTTTAAATTTTGTCAGATTTTATACCACCGCATTGCAAGTGTAATATTTTCAACGTGACAGGATTTCAGCGCATTCGCCTAGAGCCACAATTAGCGATGTTACAGGATTTTTTTCACAATCGGATCATTAGTTAAAAAATAAAAAAATCTGACCTCCGAGATCTTGTGATTTTACTCGTGGAAACTTCTCTGTGGCCTTATTTAAAAAACACTTTTTATCGAATACCTGTCAACAACAAGAACAAATGACATAAGAGTGGCAACAAGTCATTTTCAGAAATTTATTATTGTGGTTTAATCACCGCCTTTCCAAGGATGACTCGATAAAAAATATGTTGCTCGCACCATAAAAAATAATTACAACTGTCATGTTTTCCGGAAGTGGCCATGAACTTCTAAGTGGTTTGGAAGTAAACACGAACACCTTGCTTAACCTCAGTTATTTATTTTTAACAAATGTGAATCCTGTTATAATTCTTGTTAAAATACTGGCTTAATAATTTAAATCCAAAATTTAGAAGTATACATCTTCTTTGTTGGTTTCACTTGTAGCTATTTTGCTGTCTTAATTATCCGTACTAATCAAGGTCGACTTTTTTAAAATTCCCATAAACTCCCAAAATATCATCGTCTTTTAACTTTCCAGGCCTAAGGTTTTCGTGAATTCGAGTTTGGTCAAGCCTGTCATAAAAATCCTTTTTTTCCAAAAATTTGGCATCCCACATATCTAAAACGTGTCAGGTTAGTTTGATTTAGTCAGTGTTGTGCGAATACCTTTTAACTCCTCGAGAGAATAGCCTTCACCCCCATAGTCCTTTGGTAGCATATCAATAGGAAATGATTCCTTTAAAGTTTCAGCCGTACAAATTTCAATCTTAAAACGAAAAAGTTAGATGTTTGTTATCTTAACACAAGTAATATTACCCTTTCGAAAAGCTTGGGCAACATAATTTTCTTCACTATGGAAAGAATTTTTTCCCCAACTGCAGGTAAATTGAGAAGATAAACTTTTTTCAGCCTTAAAGAATATACTCTCTGGAAAAAGCATTTTCGTTGAGTTGTTACACTAGAGTACAAAAAGGCAATACCTCATAAATTAGAACCGTAGACTTATACATCGACATTGGTGTAACTTTAAAAAGTAAGGGCGCAAGCCCCTGACAGTCCAAAACCATAACATCACCAAATACGACGTCTTCTCTCATTCTTAGTTCTTGTAGATTTATGAAGTTCCGACTAATGTCGCCTATTAGTAACTCGTTCACTCGATCCTTGTTTCGTACTTTCATGAACAAAACTCGACACATTTCTTTGGTCAGCCTGGGGTGTAGAACAGAATACCTAAAAGATCACCATAAACTTTTCGTCAATGAGTACAAATAATCTAATCTTACAAAATAGATCGAGCTCTGTGCATTCCCGGTGAATTGGGGTTGATGGTACCATAAATTTCCGGCAGTTTGGATTTAATGGTATAGTACATATCGATTTTTTGTTTGCATCTTTCGATGCTAAACTTGTTTTGGATTAGAAAATTTTGTAACGTCTTGGGTTCTACATACGTAATTAAAAAATATATATAAATGAGTAATAAAAAATTTTACGTACCCATTATTTCTGGAAAATGTGGCTGCGTCTGCATCCATTTAGTCAGTGTAATTACATCTTGTTGCAAAGATTTCTCACTCGTGTTAAAACTGTCTAAAACGTTCTGTAAAACGCAGTCACCAACTTCAAATAATGTTCTTTCCATTGTGATGGCAAAGAACTGAAAATTGTTTTCCGTGTTCCGAAATTAAGTAACATTTTTGTTCCAACCTTGAATCTTCCACTATTTACATATAAACTTGATTTCCATAAAACACCCATAACCTACTGTGTGTACGAGTATATTTTGACATGATGGGAAACTGTACAAAACGATTATAATCACAATGGGAATTTTTTGTTGTTGTGTACTTTTATGAGACTTATACAATGTCATTCGATGGGGCTTAAACTGAGGTCGGCAAACTTAAATAAAAACTATTCATGCTTCCATATATTACTTATTCAAATTTATGCAAGATCTCGTCCAAATCCCAGTTGAAAGAACTAGTGATATATCAACGGTTTTTAAAAATATTTCATTTTTAGAAGACTGGTACCTGGTGCTACATCTACACATCACACGCCAAAATCCTTAAATAGTATTTGCGGATTTTGCAAAATTTTTAGAAAACTGTGCGCCAAGTTGAAAAATAATGTATTGTACTCATGTAATAAGATATGTTATCGCACTCGTGCGACAATGGAACGTCTTGCTGCGACTTCTTATTGGGACCACCTATAAAAAAATCAGTTTATGAATCGTCCTTAAATTAATGACTTGGGACTATTGTATAAAGTGTTAACACGATCTAAACACAAAAAGATATTAATTTAAAAGTTTTACTTGTCTTAGATTATAACAAACAATGAAACAAGGGTGAATAAATACATGCATTTATAAACTTTTCCATTTTATTTAAGTGCACTTAACAATGTGAGTATACTCTTCGCCATCAAGTCGACAGACATTGTCCCTGAAGTAAGTAATGATAATTTAAAATTACCATTTCCCACAAATTCGAAAACCACGCATTTAGTATGCGTTTTGCATATTTTCCCAACTCTAATTTGCAACTAGACAATACGAGTAAAAAACAATACACGTATGACAAACTTTCCATCTACACGAATATTTAGATTCATAAAACAACAAAACTTCGTTAAGTAATGATATCGAATTAAAATCGCTCTTGATACAGGATCTCGAGGTGAACATAAATATCAGTATGTAAATTATTAACTTGAGCGTAGTACAAGAATTTAATAAAAAAAAGCTAAAAATATTTTTCATGGTTAATTTGTGTGTAAACTATGTCAATGATTATGTATATTTCAAAAAAAAAAAATCGTTAGAAATTGCTCGAAGGAAGAGTGAGCGAGGAAGAGAGAATGATGGATCACGAAAATAATTATCGGAGCATGTTCTATAGTTTTATGTAAACTGGCTGATATTTTGGTTACTAAATATAACAGTGTGAAATTTGGTACAGAACCTAATTTGACATCTCCCCTTTGGGGTCCGTTAACTTGGCACCACCAAGTTAATCAATTTTACTCAAAAGCTAGCACCTCGTTGTTCTAACCTAGCACCAGCTAGCACCACCAATCAAAAAGCTAGCACCACCTAATTATTGAAATAAAAGCCTTTTACTTTCGGGGGGGGCCAAGTTAACGCTAGCCCCCCGACATTATTTAATTCTCGTGAAAAGTTGGTCCGAGGTAGTTTAGACCTAGCACCAGCTAGTACCACTAGTCTCATAGCTAGCACCACTCTGCAAGTATTAAAAAAAAAAATTAAAAACCAAAAAAAAAGTAGCCCCCACTTTTTTTTCTTTAATGGTAAAAATCAGTAGGTTAATAGTCTAGAGCTAGCACTCGCTGGATCCATTAAAAAAAAGTGTATTTTTATTCAATAAAGCCATGTAATAAAGGGTTATTTTCGGGGGGGGCTAAGTTAACGCTAGCCCCGCAATATAATTTAAAGACAATGAAAAGCTAGCACCTAATAGTTTAGAGCTAGCACCAACTAGCACCATTAGTCTTATAGCTAGCACCATTAAACAAACTAAATAAAATAATTGAAAAACCCTGAAAAAATAACTCGCATCTATAATTCCCAATCGTGGCCGGAAATAAAATATCTTTGAAAATTAATACATTACAATCATCCATTACTTATAAAAAGTCATGTTTTCTGCATTGAACAGAACTTAATATCTACATTATCTACATATTTAATTAAATTACATCACTTGCGTTCAAATCGTTCTTCATTTATTTCAACACACTAAAAATTAGGCCATGATAAATGTGATCATTTAATTTTTTTCCACAGTCATACATTTGACTGACATTACGTAAATAACAAATTTGAAATAACAAGCGAGACTATAAAATTGAAGTCATTTGTAATTTATAAATCCGAGGTTAATGACGAAAACCTTTGTAAACTCTAAATTCCTAAAAATATTATTAAAATAATTTAAAATCCTGGAAAGTTATCAAAAATTGTGTCTAGAACTTAGATCATATAATAAATAGATACCACCACGCCGTGTTCTTTCCCTAGCAGAGCCTGTGACGACATCCTCCTGTCACACATCTCTCTTGTGCATAGAGGGATTACAATCAAGCTATCCTTGCCTGATCACTATTTGAATTTTGCGCGCCTAAATTTTAGGAAGTATGTCTGAACTAACTTCGTACGAAAGATGTTGACAGCTTGATTTTATAAATAATTCACAGTAGATAACGAAAGGAACAGTAAATTATTGGGCTGCAATTGTGATCCTTTATGATTACATCACTTAAAATAGGATCTTTGTTCTAAATTCTAAAATTGTTTTTCGTACAAGAACTCGAAAGAGAGGTTAGAAGAAACATCTGTCAAAAGCGATTTGTTGCGCTGGTGCGGTACAAGGATGGAAGTGAAATAGACATATACAGATGAAATGCATATAACAAAGATGAAGATGTGGTGATCACACAAGGATAGCATTATACTACTCCCCTTGACGTAGAAAACGACAACAGATAGCTTCATGTCTAGTCACAGCTTTCAGTTTGAGTATTGGTATCTATTTATTATATGATCTAAGGTCTAGAAGTCAAGTACAAACTATGAATTTTTACTATCCGTAATAATAATCCCTATTTTGGGGCAACTATCTATTCTTTAGTTTCGAAATAGACGAAATATAGTGTGTATTGGTTAAAATGCAAATTATTTTCTAACATATCTCATAGTTAATATATATTAACTAACAAATTATGTGGACCAACATATTGTACAACAATGATGTGGTTCATGTAAAACCAGAAATTTATAAAGAATTATATATTTAAAAAGTCCATATTTATTAGTCTAACCATTAAGTGTACATACTCACACAAATGAACTGACGTCACGTTTACCGGATATTCTTAAACAAATATTCCACAAAAATCAAAATTATAATTAATGCGGTGTTACTGGATACCGAGGGAGTCTAAACCCAGCTCTTCTGGACCTTTTGTAGGATATGCATTTCTTCACAACGAAAACTTGAAGATGTTTGACATTTATTATGTTGCATGTTGCTTTTTTTATACATTATAGTTTTGTAAAGGAATCACGAATGTTGTTTTTATAAGTGCATTTTTTTTTTGTTATGCTGTACCCAGTATTTTCCTATTTTCTTTCTATCTCTTTTTTAAATCACAAGTATTATTAAAGTGGTAACCTCTATTACATTAGATGAGCAAGTTGGAACTAGTTGTAAATTTGTATTACTTTATAGCTGCCGTAAAACAAATTTAAGTTAAAGTGTGATTATTTTATCTGTTCACACCTGGATAAGTCTGAATAGGCAACACATTTTACTTTTCATAAATAACTTCCTCTTAAATTTCTTGTAGCAGTCAAATTATTTTCAACTTTTGGTAATAACGTTTTTGAATTCCGAAAAAAACCAATATGCTTTTAACTTTGGCAAAATGTTATGGAAATTTTGAGGCTGTCGTTCATCTATATGCCAGGCGATACAATTCCTTCTAACCAAACATTTATTAAACTCGAAAAAAGCTTAAGAGAAGTTGATCAATTTAAGAAAACTAAAGTTAGGCATCTTACAGTAACAATGCTAGAAAATGAAGCTGCCTTGTTTGAAATTATAGAGAAAATCCTCACGTGAGTCAAAAGCAGATCGGAAGAAAAATGCAGATTACTCAGAGTTCGGTTTTTAACGTCCTGAGGGCAAACTGATTTCATCCATCCACTTCAGCCCTTCCAATTCAAAATGAAGATCATTTGCGCAAAAGGATCGTGTGGTGTCGTACAGATCTTAATTTAACACCCGAGATTCTAAATAGACTACGTAGAAATTTTGAACACAGGATAGCGCTGTGTGAAGATAGAAAAGGCGGGCAGTTTTAACCATACCACCGTATTATTAAGAAACATATTATTTATTTTCTTTTCTTTATATTCGTCAAAGGATTGAATAAATTACGTTCTATTTTGTTTGAATTTTCCATTATTAGTTGTCCGACATCTTTGTTGTCATTTATGACATAGTATGATTTTTGTGTTGTTGTTTTGTGCTGTAATTATTAGTTTAAAAAGATTAACAGATTGATCAAAGATGCTTCTGATGTGTATTACATGTTGCCTACATCAAAGTATTCAGGCACAGTATAGATATCTATACCATGGAGGAAGGAATATAATGGAGGGAGTGAGAGTTCAAATAAGTGATCCCGCGCCAAAATGCGTGAAAGCAATAAAAGGTGCTTCAATATGGCTGCCGCTTCAGTGGCGTATCTTAATAGTATTCATAAGGGGCCCCACTACTCAAAATTATATTCAATGCAAATATTTTTTTTAGAATATCTAAAATTTGAATTTTACTCATAGAAATTTATTTTGTATAATTATAATCAACAAAAAACCCAAATTCACATCAAAGTTTGAATTTTTGCTGTATAATTGTTGCGAGATCTTTGGAATAACATTTAAGGAGATAATATTATAAAGAAAAAACATTAGCCAAGAATAATAAAATCATTATATAAAATTATAAATGACTGGTAGTTACGCTAAGGTTTTGGGAATAGGGTGAGGTTAAAGAATAACAGACGAATTTGTATATGTTGTAATTCTAGAAGCTCGATTTTTTTTTATTAATCCAATCAATGCATATCATTACTTGGTCTTAGTACCAGTAATCATAGAAATGTTGCCTCAATGCCAGTCATTTTCGGGTTAGCGGTAGGTCTTAAAATAATTTTATTAAAAGGCAGTAAGAGAACTGTACTTTATAATTTGTATAATAATTAATATTAATTTACAAATATGTACTAGATAATAATAACATAAATGTTTTTATAGGGTATTAAAAGAATACAATATTACAAAATAAAGATAAATTCACTTAAAGGATTAAAGGAAATACATACAATTTAAATAAAAAGAATACAGGATTACTACAAAGATGAGTTCGTTTCAACTAAAGGCTTGATACTTTTCTGAAAAATAGTATAAGAATAAAAAATATATATATAAGAAGAAACAAAGTAAAACGTCAACGCAATCAAATATGTTTTAGATTTTCTCCATATAATAAAACTTAACATGTTGTTTACATTTTTTTTTTTTTAAATAAACCACATTTTGTAACTTTATTGCCCTTTAAAATGAATCAACTTAGTATATCTTTGCCTATCAGAATCTACTAAATAAGACTTACTTTTACAACTGTATTTTATACGCAAATTCAAATAAATATTAATTATTTCTTTCAACAAAAAAGATGTATGGAGGTGATTTCTATGAAGCAATTTGTCACAGTTTAAATTTTCAATGATGTCAATTACAATTTTGCATTTACTAAGTTTGGTATGTACTCGCTCATGTGTTCTGTAAGTTTTTTCACTTTGTAGGCAAATGGCAATCACATCGTCACTAGGATAGCTCAATCCCCCCTTTGATTTGAAATCAACAAAACTTCCTAATAAGTTCTCTTTTATACCAAAAAGGCATGATATACATATTTCACATTTCAAAGATTTGGCTAATTTAAAAGCAACAAATCCAGCAATGTAAATGACAACTTCCTCACAAAAATTTGTTAAAGATTCCTGCCTAAAGAAATAATTATGTTCAAAATTAACGGCACTTTCCTGAGTAACTTGTACGTCACTCGTTAATATCAATTGATCAGAATTAATAATATTTTCGAGTTTTTTAATTCGAGACGAACATGTCAAAATATTTACTTGCTCTAAGGGTACACAGTTTCCAAAACCACTGTGATTTATTTCTGCGTGTATTAATAATTTTTTATATGCAGATTTAAACTGACGAGTAGTAGGGTTATTATTGCAGCCCCCTAAATTTCTAATTTGGAAGAAAAAATTTTCCAAATGATCTTGACTGCATTTATAGGTGGGCAGATACTGTAAAATTGACGTTCCTCCATCACCCACTACATATTGTTCATAAATATTTAATACTGCATGTAAACCAGCTACAAAACCTATAAAACCTGTTTTACGGGGCGAGTGAATAATTAAATCTTTGTTAAAAAATCTCAATTTGGATATATACGAAGTAAAGCAATTCACAAACGTTTTTACCTGATTAATATTATACTTATTTAATGCTTGCTTGTAACCAAATTCCTTTATTCTGCGCGAATTCAATATGTCAAAAGCGTCATTAATATTTAAAATGAAGGTAGCCGTTGCTCCACAGTTCTTAAACTGATCTAGCTGTAAAATATCTCGACAAAACGTCAAAGCTTCAGAGACAGACCTGCTTAATAACTGTGTAGCTAGAGCAACTTTCATTTTTTGTTTAAAAAAATTTATATGTCTTCTACGTAGTTTGTTTGCAAGGTGCAGCCCTTCATTTTCTTGCAGTTCATTTAGAAGTTCTAAGTATTTAAAATCAATAACATTATTCTCTCCATCGACTATTTTTCTTTTGTCACCAAATGTGTTACGTATTAATTTCATCATGTGTGAAGGATCAAGTAAAAGAAGTATATTCTCTTCACCAAAGTTTGTTTTCAAATTAGAAGGGCTAAATGAGCAACCTAATGCAGATGCCATTGACAAATTTGTCGCACAACCATCAAATGTAATATTGCTAATTTCAATTCCTACACTTTTTACTAAAAATAAACACTGTTTTAGTAAACCTAATTTTTGCTCACTATTTAAAGAATGGCTTAAAAAGTAACCCACAGGCATTTTCCAAGAGCCATTTATAGCAACCAGCATGAAAACTAAAGCTTCTTTGGCCTCTTCATTTTCATTTACTTCGATTATACTACCCATATCAGCATATCCATAATATTGTTGCCCATCATATTCAATGCAGCGTTTAATAGCAACTTCATCGAACACTAAAGAACACACAATTTTACGTTCTTCAGCCTTTGCTTTTAACACATCGAATGCCTCACTTGTGAAACCTGGTGCACCATTCACTGAAGAATACCATACAGACAAAGTTTTTGGGTGTGGAAGACAGTCCATGAATTGTTTTCTTATAAAAGAAAAAGCCTTTGGGGAGTAGAAATGTGTTGTAACAGCAAATTTTCTTATTTCTGGCCCATA